CCTCAATTTGTAATGTAACATAAGGCTCACCTCTTATCAGAATGTTCAATAGGCAAAATTGCAGCTTCGTTGACCATCTCCTTCCCATACAGGTAGTCCTCAACTTACGTGACCACGGGTGTGCTGGGACATCCATAATTCTGAGGACCAGCCATAACCACCATTCGTTCAGCGCCATCGTCACTTCAAATGATCACTGAACCAAATGGTCAGTGGACTACCTGTGTGCTCACCTGGTACAGTGTTAACAAGAAACTGCTGCATTGGAGGAGCTGCCAGTGGAGAAGTGACATTCTGGTAGTCTTCTTTAAAAAAAAAAAAAGGGGGGGCCCTGAAAAGAACTATAGACCCTAGAAACAAAGTCGTAATTCAACAAAAATCAATTTTTTAGTCTCAAAAATGCAAGGATAAGGCAGTCTCAATCTTATACGGTTTACACTCTGCACATGAAGAGATGCTCAGTGAAATCTTGGTACAAACTCAAAGGATTGCATTTGACGTGTGTAAAAGTATTGCAAACATCCTGAAAAGAGGGCTTTTCTGTGGAAGCATTGTATTCCCCTTCTGTCCTCCTCCTCCTCCTCCTCCTGTTGACCTTCAGTAAATGTAAGACACGGGCAAGAGGCAGGTTGAAGTGGGGGGCAACTGCTCTACAGGTTACTAGGACGGGACTTGCTTACGTCATGGCGTCGGAAAGTGTGTCATGCATCATTTATCGCAGGGCAATTTAAAACAACTATTCTCTTCTACCTTATAATAATTGTTATTCGTTAAATGTATTTAATAAGCAAGTATTCCCAACTGATCGTTGCTTTTTTATCTTGTCCGGGAGATACTAGTAAGGAAATCCCAGGGGAGCGGTGGTACAGTTGCCATTGCTGATTTAAATAAGTGCGTAACCCTCTTCGTTGACCCTTGTCAGAATCTGGGAGCTCTTCCATCAGTCCGTTAAGATGCAGCGCAGGAAAATTGTCTAATCTGAAATAATGGCCATTGTTACTCTACAAAACAATCACTTGAAGTAGACAAAAGCCTTAAATGTAAAGTGATGGCTGTAAAAAGCAGCCAGGACTCTGAATCCACCATCCTGGATGCCATCTTGACTTTTCTGACCATGCCCTGAGGACATCCTTGCCCATACTTAAATCTTTTCAGCAATGTTGCTGTAGTTTCTGAACTCTACCTAACAAGCGAAATGCATTCATGAAGAAGTAATTATAAGCTGTACATATATAGTCCACCTTCACACATCATGCAAAGGTGTGGTTCGACTGAGTGTGGGTGGACTCCATTGCATTAAGCCATATGACATAGTCAGGCAGTGTGAGGCGTGAGTTATTCGATTGAAAAAAACCACCTGTCCATCTTAAATCCACGCTGTGTGCCGGCTCTTGTTCGGATGGAAATGAGGGACAGACAGCAGGGCGAATTGCAAAATGCAATTCTTTTGCCTCGCGAAAGAAACTCTGCAGCAAATAGGTTGCCACAGTGAGCCAGCAGTCCAGAAGTTTCATCCTCCTCCTTCCTCTCCGCTTCCTTTCTCCCTGCTGTTAAACGTGGGTCATCGGTTATAATAATTGGCGTTTAATTACATTGGCATGCATATTTGCATAGGGTCTTTCACTCCAGTGATTCATAGCTAGAGAGGCGCACGCTGCAATCAGCTGGATACTTTGGGGTCCTTGCTGGCAAGTAATCCTTGTAGTAATTCTTGCCTTTGAGTTAAACTTGTTTGCTATGATACTTGTCCCTCCTGACAAGTCCACTCCTGATGAAGCTCTTAATTTTCTTTTCTACATTACAAGGAATTATTCTTAGCGGGAATCTGCAAATCGATGCATACGTCTTGGTCCTTCTGTGTCTGGGTGGGAGATGGAAGGGAGGTTGAGGAAGGCAGGAACTTAATTTATATTGCATGCTAGTTGCTAAAATTATTTCAGTTTTGCCTGAGGGGTGGGAATCAGGGTAGGGTTATCCGTATACCTCAAGAGCCAGTGTGGTGTGGTGGTGAAGGCCCCAGGCTAGAAACTGGGAGACCCTGAGTTCCAGTCCCACCTTGGACACAAAGCCAGCTGGGTGACCTCGGGGCAATCGCTCTCTCTCAGCCCTCGGAAGGAGGCAAACCGCTTCTGAAAAGCCTTGGCAGGAAAACTGCAGGGACTAGTCCAGGCAGTCTCTGAGAATCGCACACGACTGAACAGATAGGGGGGAAAAAATCAGTGTACTTAAAGCACTGTTGGCATTGATGCATTGAAAATTAGCTGAAAAGCTGGATCACAGCTCATAAAAAGTAACATGAGTTTAGGGAAAGAGTAAAAACAAGTGTAACGGTCTGTTAAAGATTTCTTAAAAGTGCAGCACTGTCCTGTGCAAGGGAAATTGAGAGACGTCAACCTAGGGGCAGGTGTGTCTGCGTAATTCCTCCCCCCCTGCTTCTCCGACCTTGATCGGATGTTTCCACACCCAGAAACAGACCCATGTTCACAATCTGCCTTTTGCGCGGTTTACACACATTTGAAGCCTGCATTTACATTCCCAACTGCTACATTCATGGAATGTCCTAGTTTGCCCGTGAGCAGTTTAAACTAAAGAGCCGCTGTTAAAAAGCCATCCTGATTTGTAGTGCTGCCTTAGTCGTGCTCACAACATTCATAAACTGAATCACCTTGCACCCTCCGCTGTTAATTACCGCATGGCTGATGTGCTAAAATACCAGCTTCCTTTTCTTTCAGTTATGAAATGTTGACTTCAGGGTTAGAAGTTGTATATTCTAGGAGGACCCGCCAACCCTGCCCAGAATTGCTATCCCCCAAGAGTTAGCAAATTACATTTTGTTAAATAGACAGTGTAAAATACAAAGCTTAAAACCAAGCAGCACAGAAGAAAGAATCAATAAGGAATCAGTGGATCTAAGCTCAGGTTTTAGAAAGTTAAATACTAAGTACATTGCAGAGAAAGGAAAAGGTAAGACATGTGGGGCTACGGAACCTCGATTCCTCAACATTATTCTGAAGCCCTAGAGCAGCGTTGTCCAAACTTGGCCGCTTTAAGATGAGTGGACTTCAGCTCCCAGAATTCCCCAGCCAGGGCTGGCTGGG